CCCCAAAACCCCAAAACCCCAAAACCCCAAAACCCCAAAACCCCATGCTGATACACCCTACTTGAATCACCAAAATATGAAATTAAGATTATTTAAGGCACGGGTTAGGCTGTCTTAGGTTTAGGCCAAATTTTTGGTTGAGTAGAGACACAGAGGAATTAGCCATTATTGGCTTGGTCAGAGGCAGGAAAGGGAGCCACTTGGTGACCGAGAAGAGAAGAGAGGTTATTGATGAATAGGTGAAATAGGTGAAGAGAAGATAAGCAGCCAGTATGGGTTTGGAAAAAAGACATACCAAGTTTGTAGGAAATTTCGGGGTTTTGGAAATGAAAAATCGTTAAAACTTTTCAAAATAGAGGTGATTATTTGAGCACTAGGTTTATAAATTAATTTTGGTGTTAAACCTTCTGATGATGTTCAGGAAAGTATCAAGGTTATAAAAATGTCGATAAACTTTTTAAATAAACCTATATTTTCTTTACTAATTAACTAAAAATTCAGTTATTTTTCTCTAAATAAAGCACTTATATTATAAAAAAATTGAAAATAACCCCCATAACTGAAAATTTTTAGATATTTGTCTTGACTGAAATATGATGCCTCACTAAAACTTCATCAGAAAGCATAAATCATGAAAAATTCGAATTCCGAAATATGGCTTACTTTTTCATGCATTTCTATAATATTTTGGAAAACCTCTAAATATGAGACTCAGTTCCCTGCATATATAGAGCTTACCTCGGAGCCTGCCATTTCAAATTTTCTTAGTAAATTGTTTGACTTAAAATAAGATCTAATTAAAATTTTAATAACATATCAAACTTAAGGTACAAATCTATCACTCTTTTCTTTGTAAACTAGTTATGCAAAAGATGTTTTAGAACCCCAAAATTTTGAGAAGACTAATCATACCACCCAGGCAAATGTTCTTATCTTGCATCAAAGGCAAATTTGTAGGAATAATCCCAAGTTATAAACTAAGGAGGGGTCCCCATTTCCTGTCCAGATGGACTTCATTTACTTTAGCTAAGGTTTACTTTGTTATAAAATAGAGTCATTAAGGGTTATGAAATTTTCTTGGGTCCTGACTTCTAAGAGTGCAGGTTCATATAATATTCTGAAGAGCTTATAAACTCAACTAAAAATTAGAGAAGCAGAGGTCTATAGGCTTCAAATTAAGTTCATATAGGGTTATTTGTTGCTAAATATTGCAAGAAAAATATTTTATAAAGTGGAGATTTATAGTCATAATTTGGAGCTCAAGGTATATAAAAACTTAATACTAAATTCTATAAATAATTTAATGATTGACAATACTTTTGAACTCAAAAAAATTCTCGGCAAAGGAGGTAGTTCCAAAGTCTTCCTTGCCACTGATGCTGCTCAAACCCAAGTCGCAATCAAGACAATGCGTAAAGACAAGAAATACTCCCAACAAGTGATAGAGACACTCGTCAAGAGAGAAGCTGATATGCTATCAACTCTGGAAGGCCATCCAAACATTATCCGGTGAATGGGTTCCGAACTCAATGGAACCTTCACCATCCACAACAAGTCAGAGCCTGTGGTCTACAATGTGCTCGAGTATGCTGAAAATGGAGCCTTCTCAGCCTTTGTGAGAAGCACTGGACCCATCGAAGAACAAATTGCAAGGCTCTTCACTGCACAAGTCTGAAGCGCCGTAAACCACATGCACAGTCTCGGGTATGCCCATCTCGACATAAAGTTGGAAAACATTCTGCTGGATGGATTGTTTAACGCCAAGCTTGCTGACTTGGGGTCTTGCATTGAAGCTCCTGAGTTTGACACCATGGTCGACAGACGCAGAGGGACGCTTAGTTACATGGCTCCTGAAGTTGCCAACTTGGAATCTGGTCAATCGTTCATGGCCATCCCTGCTGACATTTACTCGCTAGGAGTGACAATTTATGTTATGATTACAGGAGAATTTCCAAGTGCCCAAATGCTGAAACAAAACGTGTCAACATCGGATTGTGATGCCAAGACCTCATGAGATGTTGACATGGAAGATGAAGAAAGCAACTCTGGATGGAACCTTGTATCATCCGAACTTAAAGAGCTACTTCAGTCGATGACTCATCCAGACCCATACAAGCGACCTTCAATGCTAGAAGTCTTGTCTCATCCATGGGTAGACTGAGAGTTCAGCCAAGAGCTGATGGAAGAAGCCTACCAAGAAATGTCGAGTCGGAAGGCTTACATGAAGACATTACCAAATTCATGCCAATAACTATAATGGAGTGTTGTTTAATAAAATGTTTCACTAATCCTTGTTTCTAACTCCAAACTGTGAAAAAATTGTCTAAAATTAAATTTAATTGCCAATTCTGCCAAAGATAAATTTAGTATCAGAAGTTCTTACAGCAAATTATAAAAACAGCCTATTTGATAATTTACTAATTTTAAATTGAGCATTTCCAGCATGCAATTTTTATCAATTCGCCTTCAAAGTTGCTATAATCAAACAAGAAATAGTAAAAATGCTAACTATAAGTGTCTGAGCAATAAAAAGTAGTTGACATTAGATCGGGGTCTCAAATACGAAAGAAAATTATAAATAAAGCTGAGAATATTATTCCAACCTTAATATTATAACCCGGGGTTTTGGGGTTTTGGGGTTTTGGGGTTTTGGGG